CGCATCCATTACTCTGGCAAAATCTTAGCTGTTAAATATTAAGTAGGTTAATGTTACGTATCATGTTTATTTTGAATATTTAAAAGGCTATGGCGACGTTCTTCTGCTATTTTCCTATGGCGAACGCTTTTTCATGAATATTAATGTGATCTGGCTCGGTAACTTTCCAATCGCAGCCATAGATGTGTATACGTAGACGCACGTTCGAGCGCAGCGGGCCTGAATGTAGTTTCTAGGTGTGAAACCTCTTTTATATTCCCGAAGAAATTTGATAACTTTTTATAGTTGAGAATGTGTTCGTTTATTTTTTTATATGTATTAACTCAATATTCCTTGTTTTTAATATGGCACTTTGGTAATGTGTTTTCTTTTACTATGCTAACCTCTTAATGTCGTGTAAGCTGACGCCTTTGTCTTGTTGTGTTGTGTTAGTTTAACAAAATCATCTGATGAAGTGTGTTTCATGCGTTACTAGTACTACCGTTAAATGTTTACGGACCGCTCCAATATGGCGGACAGCTCATTGTAACGGCCGCAAAGGAGGAATCTATGTTTGTACTCTTTGATCACCACTGCATGGCTCCTGAATATTAAGAGACAACACTTTACCGTAGTACGACCCCTATCCAGGAAATGCGTTTTTTTTTTAGTATCTTGTCACACCAACCACTAAACAGGAATAACAGCGTATCTTTCTTTTTTAAAGTAGAGTTGTAATGTTATGCATTTCGGCTCTAAAAGCCCCGGATAAATCTGGTTTGGTGAAGCTCAGTGGGGATGACACTTAAGAGACACATTTTCTGTTGTGTGACGTTAGTTTAGGTTTAAATGTAATTATTAAGGAGAGTTGCTGAGGAATGCCGCTCGAGACGCGCGCGTCGTCGCGTGTGGAGTACAGCGCGGTTGGAGAGGGACTCGGGATGCGGGACTTCTGGCTCTATGTGTGGCTGCGCAGAGTGTCTGTGGTCGCTGCGCACATCATTTCCCTCGGCCTGATCATTATCATTTCCATACTGTCCAGACCAGGAACAAGTGAGTTATTTTTTACTTCTCTTGCATTTACAACTACATATTTGATACATATAGTAACGTTTCTACATGTTGTTAGACAGTCTGTGGCAATACCATATAGTGACAGACGGTAATGCACTAATGCCATAATAATACTGAAATTCAAGTGGTATTTACATGGTACTTAAAGGGACAGTTCACCACAAATGAAAATTCTGTCATCATGTAACTTACTCACCCATAAGTTGTTCCAAACCTGTATGAATTTCTTACTTTTTCTGAAAAGAAGAATATGAGTAACCAAACAGTGGACGGGGACCCAATTGATTTCCATGTAAAAGAAAATACATTCTATGGAAGTCATCAACTGTTTGGATGCACATATTCTCATAAATATTTTCTTTAGTGTTTAGAAGAAGAAATAAATTCATATGTCCAATAATATGGTACTAGGACTATGTATGGTAATAATTTATGGTGTTAAAAAGTATTCGCAAAACTCTATAAAAAGAGGTAGCATGTATTCCTGACTAAAACGTTATTTTGATTACAACATACTTGAATTATGAGTACAAAAATTAATGAAAGTGCCATGCCATTTCCGCAACAAAGTGCCTTGGTAGTTTGTACTAAGTGCACTGTCATATTTTTATGGTATTATTAGAAATATATTGGAGCATTAATACAATTAATTATTCACGTATATTGATATTGTTAGGATATTTTTGGACATTTTACCATGTTTTTAAAGACGTATCAGAGTTTTTTGTGTTGTTTTTTGAGAACCATGTAAATAGCATTGTATAAATGATTTTTGTTTTTTGTACTATGGAAATTCTGTAGTAGAAACATGAACTAATGATGTTAAGCATTGGTATGGTTGGGTATTGGTAAAATAAAAATGAATATAAAGTGTTTCTAAATATCATGCTGTATTGATGCTTTCAGGTCTCTTCTCTTGGCATCCTGTCTGCATGTCACTTGGGGTACGTTTTTATGTATTCAATTACACAAGATATTATACAATTCATTATGTTTTTAGCCATAAGTTGATAAAAGATTTCTTTTTTTCCTGCATGTTTTAATAATGCAGTGTGTTTCATTGACTTTCAGCCTCTCAGGATGAATGAATAAAATATGTCTTTCGTTAATAATGAATAGAGTGTGGTGAAACACAAAGACAATGGAATTAGCCTCAGCTGCTTTACCATGAGAGTCTGATTACACTAACCTTGATGACAAATACAACACATTCGCTTCTAATAAAGAGGTCATTCTCAGAATCAGACTCATGTACAGTACAGTGATAGTCTGTTTTTTCTCTCTAGACACATCATATACGTTACTGTTCACTCACCACACTTTAACTTTATCATAATTAGTAATCGTCATGAATTGGGTATCCATTTGGTATCCGTCGAAAGCTTAAAGGGATAGTTCACTTTGAAATTAATTTTTGATATGTTTTAGCTTACCTCAAGGGCATCCAAGATGTTGGTGTCTTTGTTTCCACAGCATTTTCAATTTTGACATTTTTCGGTCAAACAGGTGTTGTGTGTCAGTCATAATGCAGTTTTAGGGAGTCCACCTCAAAGAGCACGCACAGAGAAGTCAAAATTAAACATGATTCAATGACTCGTAAATGTAAGTACACATTGAAGGCCTACACGAAACGAGAAAACGAACAGTATTTATATCGTTTTTACCTCTTGTTAACAGCATAACATAAGACGTTTAGTGAAAGGTAAAACTTCCGAAATCTCCGTGTAAACAATGCGTGACCTAGACGCGCGAGAGATCACTTCCAGCGGAACGTCTGGAGACGGTTCAGTTCGGTTCAGTTGATCTGATTCATTGATCAGTTCGACGGTTTGACCGAAAAATGTCAAAATTGAAAATACTGTGGAAACAAATACACCTACTTATTGGATGCCCCTGAGGTAAGCTAAAACATATGAAAAGTTAATTTCAAAGTGAACTATCCCTGCAGCACAACTGTTTTCAATATTAACAGTAATAAGAAATTTTTCTTGAGCATCACATCAGCATATTAGAATGATTTTTGAAGGATCATGTGACACTGAAGACTGGTGTAATGATGCTGAAAGTTCAGCTTCATATTTTACAATACATTCAGATTTTACAATATTACTGTTTTTACTGTATTTTTGATCAAACAAATATAGCCTTGGGGAGCATAAAAAGTGATATTGTAAAAACAATAAAATGTTAATGATAAAAAAAGTGATATTGTGTATTGAACTCTTTCTAAAAAAGCAGGACAATTGGTGTTTTACTTGACATGTCCCCTTTAAACATGTCCTGTTTTCTCTCCCGTCTTAGTTTGGCCTGTGTATGACTGAAGGGATCCTGCTTTTCTCCGCTGAGGGAAACCCATTCTGCTTCAAATCCCGTAAGTGGAAGGTCCGCCTGCACTGGTTCTTTCAGGCCCTGCTGCTGGTGTGTGGTGCTACAGGATTCGGCTTCATGGTGGCCAGTAAGAACATAAAGGAGCATTCGCACTTCACCTCCTGGCACAGCCTGCTGGGAGTCACTACGATGGCCGCTACTGTCCTGCAGGCCATGTGTGGCGTCTTTCTCCTGTTCCCCAAACTCATCAGCACTTACTCGTTTCCTCGGTGGAGACTGTATCACGCCACCTGTGGTCTGGTGGCCTACCTGATGGCCACTGTCACGGTCATGTCAGCCATGTTTACAGACTGGTTTCAGGCCTCAGTGACAGGCCCAATCTGGTATATCTTCCTACTCCTCCCACTTTTTCCCGCATTAGTGGTGATGAACCAAATCACTAGTGCCTTCCTGCCCAAAAAGAAGATTACTAGTTGAAAACTAAAGCCTCCAATTAAAGCCTTCTTTAGACATATATATATATATAACAAGCAGTTAAGATAGGGCCTGCAGTCATACGAACAGCCGAGAAAAGGCTGCTTAAAGGGATAGTTCACTTTGAAATTAATTTTTGATATGTTTTAGCTTACCTCAAGGGCATCCAAGATGTAGGTGTCTTGTTTCCACAGTATTTTCAATTTTGATATTTTGACGTTTTGTGTCTTAGGCCATCAATGTGTACTTACATTTACGAGTCATTAAATCAGGTTTAATTTGGACTTCTCTGTGCATGCTCTTTGAGGTGGTGACCATAGACCTCCATTATATGACTGACAGAAAAGAACGGTTTGACCTAAAAATATCAAAATTGAAAATACTGTGCAAACTTGAGGTAAGCTAAAACATACCAAAAATTAATTTCAAAGTAAACTATCCCTTTAATTCTACATAAGATAGAAATACTATAAATATTCATCCAAACCAGTAGGTGGCAATATAAAGTCCAAAACCACTTTTTTATTAAATAAGTAAAGGGATTGAAATAGCATTTTTGTGTCCTTGAAGAGCACTTTTGGTGAGAGTGGTGATCATTGGGTAGTTCCATGAAAGTTAGCAATTAAAGTTGGTTAGATAACTAGTTAATTCAGTGAAGTAAATGTTCTGTTTATAATCACGCGACCCTGCACCTGGACTATGCACTTGCATATTTTTAATATTTACATAATGTTAGTTCAAATATAATGGTATGCTGACTACTGATATTTTGTTCTTAAGGACATGCTTGAACATTGTAAATGAGTAATTATATATATATGTATATATATATATATTGTAACCTAATACAAGCAACTGTTTTTTTTTACTATCCACTGCTGAATAAGGAAATGGGAAAATGAACAAAATGGCATTTGCATTGCAAGAATATGCTTATTGTGTACAGTAAACGTGTATGTGTTATAGGTATATGTGATCCTGGATCACAATACCAGTCACAAGTAGCACGCGTATATTTATGGCAATAACCAACAATACATTATGCTTTTATGCCAAAAATCATTAGGATATTAAGATCATGTTCCTTGAATATATTTTGTAAATTTCTTAACGTAAATATATAAAACATTTTTTTGCACCCACAGATTCCAGATGTTCAGATAGTTGCATCTCCTATTCTAACAAACCATACATCAATGGAAATCTTATTTATTCAGTTTTCAGATGATGTATAAATCTCTGACCCATGTGACTGGTTTTGTGGTTCAGGGGCACATATTATTGTCATGTTCGTCTCTTATTTTTAACCCCATCCGTGTGAGTTTTACATTGTTTTAGAGAGCTGTAGTTCTTTATTCTTTATTCTGAGAATGACCTCTTCTTAATTATCTCTATGACACTTTCCTGAACAACATAAACAGAAAACGAAAGGTATTTCGACATTTTTTTCTTTGCAACAAGAATATTTTACTGTTCTTCCCAATATTTATTTTTATTATGGCTGATAATAAATGTGTTATTTTAAGAAAACTATGTAAGCTTAAGTCTTAATATATATCCCAAGTATTCTCTGTGTCCAGTATCGACCAAATAACATCATTAAAATAGAGAATAGCTGATACTGTTATATTGTGCATAGACAGTAAAATGAGCAGATTAATGCGGGCATCTGATGCTTAGTTCTAAGCTTTATTTGTAAAGTCAGTATCAGTGTATTATAACAAGAAATTATTTGTTGGTCTCTTGTGTTCATATATTCCTGTATTATTTATGTGTGCACAAACACTAGACTAGTATAACTGCAGTGTTGCACTGGTTACTGTATTGATTTTTTTATGAAACTGCACAATGTGGTCAGGTTATAAGATTTAACTATGCCCCTATGAATGTAAAAAAAAACAATGACTCAGGGTTGTCTATCAATTACTGGCTTAACTACAAATATATTATAGTATAATATAGTATTTTTATTCTATACAGTATGATATGTATTTGAGGGTTGGTGTGATCTTTCTTATGAACAGTAAATGATTGTTTTTACTCAATGATACTCAATTTCTATAAAAAATAAACATAAGCATCATTTACAAAAAGACTGGACATGTTTTATCTGCTGATGTCATACTTATTGTAATAAAACTAATTTGCTATTTATACTTATATGTAGTAAATAGACAAACTTTCCTATGATTTATTTTAAATCATATTCATCAGATTTCTACGCAGATGTAGGAATAAAATGTTAAATAGTCAGCTTAGTAACAAAATATTTTTTTACAAGTAATTTTTTAGCAGGAAAAGAAGACGGGCTATTTGTACTTGATGTAAATAGACACTATTTTGAAACGGTCCAAAGTCTAACCAAGACCAGACACAAATCATCTCTGAACATGATGCTTGATTGGAGGTAGATATTGTGTAGGAAAACCAATCAGTTTTCGCTTTTAAAATAAGTTAGTGCTTGTCAGAACACATTCAAATAAATAAATAAAGAGCTCAAAAAAAGGAATGGATTTCATAATCCCCTGCAATCAAAAAAGATTCAGACTGTACTGAAGACAGATGTCAACTTGAGCTATTTTTAACATGGATTTTGAATGCTTGTGTACGCGTAGCCTCTTTCAGGAGAGGAAAACATATCAAGTGATCCAGAGAATCACATCGTGTATCGCACAAATTCACATTAAGACTAAAGCCTTCAGTCACCGGTGTAATCCAGTGTAAAAATGAACATGACCATGATCATAAACCCATGTGCTTCATTGACCTTCTTCACAAATGAGCGTGACTGTGCCGTTCAGTAGATCTTCCATGCTCACGGCCACGATTCCAGAGCCGCTGGGAGTTTCCTGTTGATCCCCCAGAGCGACGAACACCTGCGATGACCCCTCAATCCGGGATTGGTCGAGGCTAATCACCTGCTCCACCTCTTGACCGGTTGTCTCCTCACACTGAATCACCTGGAAAGAGTCAAGAAAACAAGAAATTTTACAGACAAAACCTGTCTTTCAAGCACTGGTCAATTATGAGATTTTGGGCTATTTTGCTTCTCTAACATGTCTTCTTTTAATAACACATTTAAATATTTACCTAATCACTCCTTCTTTATCTAGTTGCATCTGTAGATTTAAATTACAATTCAAAGGCCATTTTTCTAAATAATTTGCTGGAAATCTCAATTTCAGTGGCAAACTTAATATACAGCAGGTTTATTCCTATCTATTTCTTAAGATTTTTACAGAGAACTTTTTTTTCTACCTGCTGACTGTATTTTCAGTGATAAAAATAATTCAATGTTTAGATTTCTGCTTATTAGTTTATATTTAATTAGATAATAAATAATGTGCATATGTAAATATAACATATTTTAAATATAAAACAAGTTTGGTAAAAACAATGCCTTAACCATTGTAAATATCATTTAGTATTTCAGACATTTCATGGAAAACAGTATGATCTTGATATAAAAGTTTTGATGTACTATAGATGTTCTGCAAAAATACCACAGCATTAATCATCTTAAACTACAAAAATACCATGTACTGCGAATGCGATTAATCAAATGTGGACTGTATGGTGATATTTATTCATTGAAACTTTGACCCTGTTCACCTGTTGTGTCTTGCCTTAACCATTGCAAATTTCTTAAATAAATGGACCTTGACTAATATTACAAGTGGATGTCAAAGGAAATTGCTGGAAAATAGTAAATTATGATCCTTTAAACTTTAATTGCACTGCAGATCACATTTAGTGTCAAATTTTTCATTTCTGTCATGATAGTGGGAGGTTTGTGGCGTCACCGTATGAGAACTGGAGGCCTGTGTCTGTGCTTCCTCTTGCATGAGCTGCAGGTGTTTGGACAGGAAGTGCTGCTGGAAGTCTGCCTCTGAGGGGAAGTGGAGAGAGCAGATCATACAGCTGAACACAGAGCTGGTCTGACTCGACTGTCCACTGCAGACGTGCTGCTGCAGCTCCTGCTCGCTCGTCAGAGTGCTGTCACAGTTCACACACTTCCACACGTGCACTTCTGAACAACACACACACAATCGTAACTGTGATGAAAAGTAACAGTATCAATAGTTAGTAATAGATACTATCCTATCGTGGTCATTCTTTACCTGTGTGATTGGTTATCTGGTGTTTTAACAGACTGTTTCGGTTGCTAAATGTCTTGTCACACTTGTCACACTGCAGGAGAGATTTGATGGATTTGTTGCTCTGGGCAGAGACGCTCTCAGGGTGGGCAGTGCGATTGTGGTACCACAGACCGGAGAGAGTCTGAAACGAAGAAATCGTAACAATGTTTGATCAAAGTACTTGTATTGTCCTCGTTAATAAATGTATTTATGTGTGTGCGTGTTAAAACGAATAAATAAAATAATAATGATTTTAATATAAATATTACGATTATTAATATTATATAATAATACAATACAATAATATTATATTCATTAAATAATACCGGAAAAATGTTTCTTGACCAGCAAATCAGAATGATTTATGAAGGATCATGTGACACTGAAGACTGGAGTAATGATGCTAAATATTCAGCTTTGATCACAGAAATAAATTAAATTTTTAAATATATCAAAATGGAAAACAGTAATTTTAAATTGTAAAAAAAAATTCACATTATTACTGTTTTTACGGTATTTTTTTTATCAAACATTTGCAGAGACTTCTTTCAAAAACATTAATCTATTGACCCCAAATTTTTTTTAACAGCAATATTATATTATATTATAATACTGTATATGTTTTGCTTGAAAAGTGTGCCTGTCCTTATTTTATATAAATGCATCAACAATTTTATGTTTAAGTGTCCAAATACATTTTGGGGCCGCTGTGTACTTGCTTTTTTATTGCAAAAACATTACCTTCTAAGCAAATTGCACCAAAAGAGAGTTATGTTGACACAATTTTCTATTAGATAGAAATAATCCTTTATCATTCAATAAATCAAGTTCCATGTTCTTGCCTGATAGGACTTTTTGCACATCTTGCAGCTGTAGGGTTTGTTGCCGTCATGAATGTTCATGTGTTTCTCCAGATTGGCTTCGCTGTTGAAGATCTTGCTGCACTCGAGACACTGGTGCAGCTCTTTCGGATGCACCTCCTGGATGTGCTGTCGGAGCTCGTCCAGCGAAGAGAAACTCACCCGGCATTTCTGGCAGTCATGAGGTTCTGTGATGTCTAACGGGACAGAGAAGTAGTTTAGCCTCTGTTTATTAGAGAGTGAAATAAATCATGTGACTTGTGGATCATGTGCTTACTGTGAAAGTTCTGTAGATGGACGGATAGGCCATTGGCTTGTTTGAATCCTTTACCGCATTCCCTGCAGACGTACGGTTTGTCTCCCGTGTGTGTGCGTACGTGACGCGTCAGTTCGATGGACTGTGCGAATGAGGCTGAGCAGTACTGACAGCAGTACATTTTACCTGCAAATGCAGAATTTGCATAATATTGCCACTGGTTTTCACACAAAAGGCTGATGTAATAATAATAAAAAAACATTTAAACCATCCCACCCTCGGCATGCTTCTTCTTGGTGTGATAGGACAGAGCGGCGGCCACAGAAAAGCTCATGTCACAGTGTTTGCAGTGGAAGGGTTTTTCTCCCGTGTGTAGACGCATGTGGTTCTTCAGGGACGAGGTGGCAGCAAACTTCGCCCCGCACTCCTCGCAAGCGTACGGCCTCTCCTCAAAATGTTCTGTGCGTTTATGATACAAAAGACCTGAAAAGTATAAGTAATGAAATTGAAGGATTACAAATTTATTTATTTTTTATTATTATTTTTTTTACAAATTTATATATTTATTTTTCGCTTCTGAGTTTTCAAACACTTTAGAAGAAAAACTTCACAACAAAATCAATGCGGATGTAAGAGTGATTTAAGGTCCATTGTATATCCATAAATCTATTCAGACTCAAACAGAACTTTTTTTTAGAAGTTTTTTAGAAGTTTTAGTTTTTGGTTATTTATTTGTTTATTTATTTATTTATGTATTTTTTGGGAAATGGAGATGTAGTGAACATTTTCACAACATTTCAAACCAGTGAAACTGAATCATGATAATTGAAGCCAATTTTGATATACTATAGGAAAAACTAATGTGCAAATGAATACACTTGTTTACTCTCTGGAGCTCATGCATTCAAGGGATAGTTCCCAAAAAAAAAAAAAAAAAATTGTCCTCATTCCCTAACCCTTATGTTATCACAAACCTGTTGAATACAAAATAAGATATTTTGAAGAATGTAGGTTACAAATACATAAAAATACAGTATTTTTATCCTACTATGGAAGTCAATGGGTGCTGTCAACTGTCTGGTTACCAACATTCTTCAAAATATCTTCTTTTGTGTTCAACAGCAGTAAGTAAATCATGACAAAATTTCCATTGTCGGGTGAACTATCCTGTTAACAACCAGCATTTCAAAGTATTGAGAACGATCATCCCCCACCTGAAGAGTGTTTGAAGGTCTTGTCGCACATGTCACATGGTACTTGTTCTGTTTTCTTCTTCTTAGCCGGCGGGCCGCCGTGGGTATCCATGCAGTGCTGGTGAAGGCTCTTGAGCGTTGGAAACGGCATTGAACACTCTGAGCAGCGCTGCTCCTTCCCCGGTGTGAGGGCACAGCCTTTCTTATGCTTTATCAGACGACACTTAAAGTCAAACGTCTTATTACACCACTCGCAGCGGTAAGACACGGGCACAGCCTTCCTTCTGCCTTTTGTTTTTAAGTCTTCCCCATCATCATCATCCTCAGAGTCTGCCGTTGATGCTTCTTGCTCAACCTCAGATTTTAGAGGACAGTCAGAATCTGACAGAGGCCCTGTTTCAACAGACAAAACGTAAAGTTTTGTTATGATTTTTCATCAGATGCTTTTAAAATGTATGCAAAACTATCATATCATCGCAGGGAGAGGAATATCTATATTCTGTAAAGTCCGTCACCAGTATGTTTGAGGTGCTTCATGAGAGTGGTCAGCTGAGGGAGGTTCTGCTGGTTGGCAGACAGCAGCTGGCACAGTGTACTGGCAAACTCTGAGTCACGACTCAAAACTCTCTCGACAGTCTGCTGTACCGACTCCAGCTCTCCATCGGCTCCACGACAGCTCTGGAGAAACTAGGACACACAAAAATAATGTTTTGTAATCTTATATTTTATTTTACATGTTGGATATTTGCACACAAAAAGATCTCTTTGAAATACAAAGTATGCGACTAGTGTATTATTCTAATGTATAGTACACTGAAAACAGTAAACCAAAGGTGTCTGAGTGGATTAAAAAAAAAAAAAAAATGCATTAGTGCATTTTGGACTAATATTACCCACAACCCCTTGTGTATTGCAATAATAAAAGGAGTTTGACTCTTTTTAAACTTGTATAAAAAACTTGTTTCAAACTTTTTCTGTTGTATAAAATTAGCAATGAAAGCAAGGTCATAGCTGCGACAGCAGTGTCTTCCTACACACTCAAAATATGTACTTTGTCAGTGAATTATACTTACAATATATATATTTATATATGGTATATATATACTAGGGCTGTCAAATGATTAATCGTGATTAATCGCATCCAAAATAAAAGTTTGTGTTTACATAATATATGTGGGTGCACTGTGTTATTTTCTATATATATAAATACACACATATGCATGTATATTAAAGAAAAAAATATTATTTATATATAAAATATTTATATTTATATATAATATAAATTATATATAAATCTATATACAGTATATACATGAAAAATATTTCTTAAATATATACAAGCATGTGTGTTTATTTATATATATAAAATAATTATACACAGTGCACCCACATATATTATGTAAACACAAACTTTTATTTTGGATGCGATTAATCGCAATTAATCGTTTGACAGCCCTAATATATATACATACCTATTGTCAAACATTTGGGGTCAGTACGATTAGCCAATTAGGAAGCAGACCATAATTTCATAATTTTAATATGTTATCCTCTATTTCTTACCTCAGCAAATTGCTCTGATCCATGATCCGCTGCGTCCACACCCTGTTCGAGCTGGGTAATGTCGCAGATTGTTTCCAGAATGAGTGATTTGTGCTGGAAGAGCACATCTATGTCTTTAACTAAAAAATAAAGCATTGAAATATAATTTTGGTACACAGAGCGACTGGTTTAATTGACTTAATAAAGGATTTTTCTGACTTCACACACATTCAGAGAATGGCAGTTGTAGTGACCAAAAGCAATGTGTTGATGTAAAAGCTGTTTGACACTCACTGGTTTGGAGAAGTTTTCGTGCGTGTCGTTTCTCCTTGACCTCCTGCATGAGGAGCCCCAGCTCTGGACTGTGTGTCTCTGTCCACAGGAACAGCCTCCATACAGTCACCGCCTGCAGTGACCCCTCCAATGCTGCAGATATCAGCCTTTCAACCACTTCGCCATCTCCTTTTCCTCCCAGCAGGGCTTTAATACACTTGATTGGACAAAATTCTATTAAAATTGGTTCATTCCATTGAATTCATTTCTGAAAGGTCATTTTGTATTGCAACACAGGTACCTCTCTCTCATTTGCAGGCATGTCAGGACCCAATTTAAGACTCTGTTCGATGAGCTGGAGGTCCAGATTCAGCTTGACGAGTCTGTTCTGATAAATTCTCAACAAATCCATCCCACTGCTGTCTTCAGCTGTGTTGCCTGAGAAAGTAGCAGTCATCAGAAGTGTAAGCTGAAGGAATATGCTGTATGATAAGGGTTTTTGCTATGCATACCCGTTGCGTCTTTCAGGGCCTCCAGAAGCTGAAGCAGATCTGAGGAGCTTTCCTTCACCTCATTGAGCAGCATCAGAAACGTTTCTTCACTCATGGTCTTCTCTCGGAGTTTACATAACAACCTTTCCGCCACCTCCCCTGATGATGGAGCAGAACAGCACTGCAGCACTGCCTTAAGAAGAACAGACACATACACTACCAATCAAAAGTGTGGGGTCAGAAAGCTCCATTAAAGTTAATTATATTCAGAAAAGATGCATTCAATCGATCAACAGTGAGTGACAGTAAGGACTCAGGTGTGATCCTAATTTTTATTTATTATAAATGTTGTATCACTGTTTTCGATAAAGTTTTGTCTATCCATTTATTGTGTTTTTTTTTATTTTGTGGGTATTTTTGAATTTATTTACTTCAAAAAGTACCATATTTTCTATGTAAATTATGCTTTTTTTTATTTTTAATTTTTTTTTAACTACATTAAAATTCCAATAAGTTCTTCGAGCTAAAACCTAAAGATAAAGTGAATTTGCTGTCACCTGGTGTCTTATTTTAGAATGCTCTAAATCACAGTTTTTCCCATTCATTTCTATGGGTGCCCATTTTTGACCTAAATACAAGATTAAGGATTTTTTTTTTCACCCACTTAACATTGTAGAATTGAGTCAAAAAAATTTGCGTGTGTTCAGGAGGCAAACTTAGGAAAAGTAGCCAAGTCTTGTACCGCTCAGATCAAGGGAAGTATTTTTTAAAAATAAATCTAAACTATTTTGCCCACATTTGTCCAGAATCCGGTTTTAGGGTTAAGCAACACAACTGTTTTTAACATTGATAATAATTATAGGAAATGTTTCTTGTGCAGCAAATCAGCTGAAGGATCATGTGACACTGACGACTGGAGTAATGATGCTGAAAATTCATCTTGGCGCCACATAAATAAATTATATTTTAAAGTATATTAAAATAGAAAACAATTATTTTAAATTGAAATAATATTTCACAATATTACAGTTTTTACTGTAATTTTAATTAAATAAAAGCAGCCTTGGTGAGCACAAGAGACTTATTTAAAAAAGAAAAACGTTTAAAAAACGTTACAAACCTGAAACTTTTAAATGTAGTACTGATATACTATATATAAAAAATTACAGTATAATTAAGGACTACTATAACAAACTGTAAGGGACAAATTTACTTCTTTTTCCATATCACTGGAACACCTGTTCACTGCATTGGTCAAAAGCTCTGAGAGGTTGTTGACACTGGAGAGGTGACGAGTTAGTTCTGATGCACGCTGTAAAAGCCCAGCAGACTCCTGAACATCTGCTGCAGGATCTGTGGATAAACAGATCACAGGACGGGTTGTACAATCACTCAAAGTCGAGCATCCCATGATTCAACACTCATGGGTTCTTTCACCCAGGTCAGTTTACCTTTTGGCTTGGGGCCGCTCTGATTTCCCTGCTCCTCCAGAACTGATCCTGGTTCAGGGTTTAAACATTTTAGCTGTTCAAACAAAGTAAGGACTGTTTGAGCTGACATAACTCTCTCAACTTTCACATGATTTAGCAACCGCTGGTAAACCTCATCTGCTGATGGATCTCCTCTGAAGCTCTCCAGTATGACCTGCAGAAGATCAAAGGGCAGAATTCAATATTACATTTGAATTATGAAACTATATGTCCTATATGCTTCTTTAGATCATCAACATATCTTAAGAATGAATTATCAGTTACATAAACTGGCACCAAAAGATACAGTTGAATGTTTTTGAAATGCATTTTTTGAGGCTGAATTTATTTGATCAAAATACATTAAAACATAAAGAGAAATTATGTCAACTTGAAAGAACTGTTTCTATTTATAAATGTAATTTATTCCTTGAATTTTCAGGCTCATTACTCCAGTCTTCAGTGTCACATGATCCTTCAGAAATCATTATAAAATGCTGATTTGCTGCTCAAGAAAAACTCTTATTAATTATCAATGTTGAAAACAGTTGTGCTGCTTAGTATTCTTAATATGCTTTCCATCATAGGAATAAATATAATACTAAAATATATTAAAATAAGAATTAACAATTGCATTAATATGCAACTAATATTTTTTAAACTGTATTTTGATCAAATGTATTCAGCTTTGGTGAGTAGAATTACTTTAAAAAAAAAAAAAAATGATTCCATCCACTTTTTTACTATCTTACCTTGTGCTCCTCTGTGGAGATTGAATCCCAGATCTCAAGAACCTTAATATATGACTGTCCACACTGTAGGATCTTTGTGACACCAGCTTGATTTTTAGAGATCAGCTCAACTGCATTGTCCTCTGAACATAGAAATAAACACAATTCATACAAAACACTTGAATGAAGTGATCTCAATCTTAATCAGTCAATGTTTTACCTTGCAAACTCTTCTCTCTTTTAAGCAGTTCTGATTCAGATTGCTCCTTAAGACAGTCAGGTTTTATTACATGAGAGTCCATCGACTCGGTCTTAGTTTCCACAGAAGTCTGCTTCATGAGGTCGGTGAGAATGTTCTTACAACCGACAGCCACATCAAACATCTGCAGGCTGTCAGCGGCGGCTATGAGTCGGGTGAAGTTGTGCTTGCCGGGAGGCAGTTTCCCGGTGTACACCATGTCCAGAAGAGAGGAAAACTCTTGAGAGGACAGTAAATCTGTGTCGATGGAGATGCTGTCAGAACCTTCCAGAACAGACTTAAATAACATACTGGAGGCCGCCAGCACTAGCTTGTGAGCGGGGTGGGGGGTCTCACCCACCAGAATGGAGCAGTCGCAGAACTGCTTCTCCTTTCGTAAAGCATGCAGTTGCTGCATGAGCTGTCGACTGTAGTTTGGGAGCTCCATCTTGGACCTGTAGAAGTGGATAAAAAGAAAAAGATAATTATCAAAATCAGCTCAATTTATGCCTAAAACAAGAGAGAGAAAAATCTGGCAATAGGCTAAGAAAAACAATATTGTTTTCCGTTTGAATTAAATATATTTTTCTTGCCCCACTGAAAGTTTTTATTTTATTTTCTTGTTTTAAGGGTACACTTCTCATTAAGTCTTAAGTAATTTTACTTCTCAGGTAAATGTATCCTGTCCTAAGAATGTTAAGATAATTGTACTGGAAAAAGAGTTCATGCTTAAAACAAGAAAAAAATATTTTGTCAGTAGGATTTTGTCAGTTTGTCAGTATTTGTCAGTAGACAAATAATATGTTTTCTCCTTCAAATTAATTTGACACGTTTATTCTTGTTTTAAGCAAAAACAAAAAACACAGTATCCTTTGTCATATTCCTTCTGAGTACATTAATTTAAGAATTTATTTGTTTTTATATGTCCTTTTCGCTCTGGTGGACAAAAAAATATTAGCTCCAAACGCATTTTGTTTCTTCACAATGTGCTTAAAGATAACCCAAACATTATTTTTTTAGTGAAATATTCCTTTCCTGTTCCTAAATAAAGTACAAGAGCACCTTGACAAAGACCTAATCGTGCACAGTAACTATGTTTCATACCATTTTTATAAGTCATAAATTATCTTAAAGCACACAATTATTTAGATAAATTAAATGTAAATAAACACAATACATGAGGTGTGTCTTTATAACTGAAGGGGAGACTTTTAGCCTGTTTATTCCCTATGGTTAATTCAAAGTGTAAATTAAGGAAACACATTTACACAGTATATAACAATTTAGAAGACAGTAACTGTTAATAAATGATTTATATCATCATACTAGCAAGAACAAAACAGGCAAAAAAAACAAATATTTAACTGCATAAGGTAAATGTACCGCCATAAACGCGTGCAATGAGGGACATTTCAGTCTTCGGCTAAGCTGACATGCTATCTAATGCTAATATATAGAAACTAAAAGCAGTAAAGGTAAAAATTGCACAATATTAGAGGCAAATGATTGTGCCTCACACAGCACACCACAGCTAAACACTTCCCCTTTACCTTTAAATTCAAAAGATCCGGCTCTTTATTTAAACTCCTTCGACGAACAACATTTCGCTTCGCAATAAAGATTCGTCCCAAAACGGTGTAACACTGCGCATGCGTGAAAGGATTTGCGAGCCATTAGATAACATAATGCGCATGCGCGTCAAGACTTGTCTTGCGGTACCTTTACACGCATGCGTATAATGAACAGCTGGTTTTATATTAATTAAAAAACAAAATTCTCCTCTATATAAATTAATTACCTAGCCACGCCGAAAGCTGTGCTGACTTTATGTAAATTCACTAACGACATGTTTAATTTGATATAAATAACTATTAATTCTATGAAAATTCCCTTTTATTGACATTGAGCTGTGTATTTCTACACAGCTCAATGTCAATAAAAGGGAATTTTCATAGAATTAATAGTTATTTATATCAAATTAAACATGTCGTTAGTGAATTTACATACGACTCGTACATCTACACAGATAGAATGTTTAATAGTTGTAAATAAGTCCAACACGTTTATTAATGTTTAATTAACCACTTGGGTTGTCATCTATCTTAATTCAAATAATATGACTCAATCATCTCAATCCAGAAACATTTATGGGAAACATATTTACATAATATAAATGAATTTGTCCTGTAATTATTGTCATTGTATTTGATCGATTTTCAAATGTCTGCAAGTTTTCAAACCATATGGTTACCTTTTTAAATCTTACAGCAGGTAAACAGGGTACATTTTAGACAAGCCGCTAAAATACATTAATATTGACATAAGCCACTATGTGCAAAATGGGAACACATATTTATTTCAATATATTAATTAAAATTGTGTAATGAATAAGGAAGTTAGTATTACATCTTCCATAACAGCTGAGAAATATTTAACGATTGAAATATGGGAGTTCTGTCAAGTTTTTCAATGCAGGTTAAATGTATGCATTGTTATTTCATAGTTACAGTCGTATGGATACAAACTATAAATCTTTAATTGTATCAGTCAGTATGATAAAACATTTCTGCTTGGTCTCAAGATGTTGACTGACGGGACCAGAACTCAACAGTAACAGGAATACGTGCACATATGAAGATGTAAAAAGAATATTTATTGCCCATATGAAAGAACATACAGAAAAGTTCACACAAATGCCTGCTAGTAGCAGAACGTGTCTAAACTATTTAGCAATGCTGTAATATTTCCACATCCGGAAATGTCTCCTATTAATGCTCATCTTTCTAGACTTTTCTTCACTGCTGTATTTTGATGAGGTTATTTACATTAACAAAACGAAGACTAAATACGTTTTTTTTTTTTAATATTCAAGTTGCTCATGCATTCTTAAATATGTACGAGCTCTATTGCAGTGCCATCACAAGCTTCTTTTCAACAAAGGATTTATAGAGACTTACTTTTTTACACACAAAATATGATCAGAACATAATCTTTGAACATGACATTGCAATAAAACAAGGAGGAATTCAGATTTTCCTTGAAATGGAACGTCATTTGAGGAAATCTTGACCCGTATTTTTCACAGTCATGGTAAGCACGACCACAAAACCTTGCAGAATGCATCAACATCTTTCAATATTAAAAGCCAGCACGATGTTTTAAAGCAAAAAGACACTTTTGAAGTTGTTGCAACATTCAAAAACAAATTAAAAAAACAAAACAAAAAAAAGATCTGTGTAATTCAAGCTTTATCCTTGCTCAGCCATTGTCAGCATCGTTCCACATCTGAGGCCTCCATCAGTGTCCTAATAACCCAGTGCCTGAACAAAAGGAAACAAATACAGTAGAACATGATTGACAACGTCATGTTCCTGATTCTTACACAAAGATATTAAAGATTATTATCACAATAGTATGTGCATACCTTTAAATCCTTCTTCAGGCATACAGACTACAAAAAAATAAAAAATAAAATACTCAGGATAAAAACAATGCAGATTTATGTGTTTGAAAATGAGACATACTGGTATTAAAATTTAAGCTGACCTTGATAAACATCATCCATTGCAGCATAATCAGCAATGGGTTCATCAGCCTGTAGAGGGTAAAATTCAAGCAGCTTATTTTTTTTTTTTGGAAATGTATTATATTACTGTTTTTATTGTATTTTTGATCAATAAATGTAGCCTTGGTGAGCATAAGAGTAAAACAAACAAACAAAACAAAACAAAACAGTAGTGTTTATGCCCAAAAAGGCTGTCGCAGCTCATTATGTTTTGAAACACAACCAATGTATCTGTTCCCATCAAAACAGAGTTGAGAGTTGTACCTTAAGGCAAATGATGCTCTCTGGGATGACTCCAAGACTTCCTAGTGTGGCGGAGTCATCTGTTAAACAGCGTCCGTCTATGGAAAGGTTTTGGTCGAATGGAGCCACAGAGAATGCATGCATGATCTGTGGATGCAAATATTTCAAATAAGACAACCAGCGCCATCATATAAAATTGAAATGCTTAATTTTCGCTGAACTAACAGACCTGGATCTTAAGCTCTTTGAGCGTCTGGTTGGCAGAGACGATGAGGGCTTTCTCCCCACGGAGTTTCCTGTGCCTTGTGCTCCTCCTGATGCCCGACTTGGAAGCAGAGGCAACAGCGGGTGTAGAGAGAGAGACGGTGTCGTTTAGCTTCTGCCGTTTGGCTCCGCCCTCAGACTGATGTAAAGAAGGGAGCTTGAGCAATGGATAAATAGATAGATAATCAGGTAGACAGATAGTTGGATAAACAGTCAGACACACAAAGTCAGATTGATGGACGAATAAAAAGTCAGACAGATAAATAGATGACATATTTGATAATAAGAGATTCCATGGGCAGTGGAATAAAATGGAGTATGCCTATTGTTAAATTCACAGAAAATCAAAAGAATAAAAAGCTAACAAAGCTTAAATTAGGCTCACGTATAGCCTACCTCTCTCATTCGCCAAGAATCTGAATGTTTCCATGGCTGCGATGGAACATTCTTTTTTTTTATTTTGTAAACAAACCTTTGTGTTTCAGTCCTGTGGTAATATTCAAAGTGTTTTGGCAGGTGCTACCCGGACAAGTTTGTCAAGTTTACCGACAGCCCTAGATAGATGATGGCTAGATAGACACTTAGAAAGATGGACAGACAGATAGATCAAAAGTACCTGACTGAAGTCTGGATCTTTCTCTCCATCTATCTTTGGCTCTTCTCTTTCATCCTCAACATCTGACCCACTCACACTGAACTCAGGGGCAGATTCCTTAATCATCTATATAAGAGAAACCAAATGGCACAAGTTATTCCTTGTAGTACATTTGTAATGTTTAGGGTTTAACTGAGGACACGTGATCATGCAAAGACTCACCATTTTCTTGTCAATGACTTTGCGAACATACACAGTGGCCTGCGCGTACTCCCTCATGTCCCTCTGCTGCTGGAATATGAAGCCCTCTCTGCATTCTCGACACAAATCTGAGAGCACAAAACACACTCACATGAAATACCACGTCTGTTTGAGGGACCTCGAAGAAACTACTATCATCTATCTCACCTGGATGAGTTTGGTATTTCACAATGCCGTTGTCTTGCGTTTTATCATGAATCTGATATATGGAGATGACATGGTCCACCAGAAACATTTTGTAGATCACGTCCCATTCAGCAGGCCAGAGAAGAGCTATACTGTGCATTGACAGACACAAACACTCAGACTTAACTCAGAGTTGCTCTTAATATGGGTAGTGGCAAATAACGTGTCCACGGATAAAAATAAATAAATAAAAATCGACAAAGTTTTAGTAAATTTACGCGTATAAGGAAAACTATATTGTTCAAAAGTTCAGGATCAGTAATCACTTTTTTTATTATGCTCACCAATGCTGAATTTATTTGCTCAAAAATACAGTAAAAACAGTAATATTGTGAAATATTATTACAATTGACTTGTAAAACATGGTAGTGTTCAAATATATACTAATATGTTTTATATTATTATTGTTATAATTAAATGTATTATTATTATATGTAATATTTCATTTAAAATAAATAAAATATACTTTTAAATTTTGTATAAAACTGATGCAAATGAAAACTATTTCTGCAGTTTTTTTTAATGACATGTGATAGCAGCAATTAAAGCTGATTATTTTCCCCTTCCAGGATATGTGAGAGGTCAGGACTGAGAAACTCACTGTTGGGCGTCTCCTTGCAGCATGGAGTCGTAGGTGAACATGAAGCCACCGTGAGGGCAGAGCAGGATGCTGTTCCCCACATTGGACACTGGGTTACTCTTTGCTGGCCTCCTGTGGTATGATCAGGTACAATAATTTAGACAAATCAACCCTGCAAAATCATTTTAGTGATTACAGAAAAAGTATAAAAAGTCATAAAAATAAAAAATTCCATTACCTGATAAATTTCCTCCATTCTTCTACAAAGTAAAGGGGTACAATGTACAGAACATCTGTGTCCTAAAACAAAATTCAAACCAAAGTCAGTGAGGCGAAAATAAGAATGAAATACTGATGTATTCACCCTCTCTACTGAAAGACGTTTTAATTCTTCAAAACATCAGGGGAAAAACTGAAACAGAATCCCTTAGTTGTGGAAAATGACGTTACCTGTGGCCATTTTTGCAGCGTGGGCCGATTTTTCTCCTGGAAGAGGTTGAGCAGGGAGCTCTTCTGTTCATTTGCCATCATTCTGTTCAAAGCCTCGTTCTCTTTCCCTTCCCTATCCAGCCTCTGAAAGAAACAGTATATCTTAAAACCTACTAAGACTTTTCCCAAATAATTGTAGGCAGATCACAAGGTTTTCGAGTGTCCACTACACCTTTTAACCATGACAGCTGTGCTAATTGATCAATTTGTTACCATGCACTGCTGACAGGGCTCGTGATGTTGCGCGAACTCCGGTGCTTTGGGGAAATACATCCGTAGTTTATTCCACACTTCTGCTGAGACCAGCCGCCTGTCATTCTCTAGTATACTCAAACCACCTGCGGGAGAAAGAAAAAGCACAATTATGGAGTATCATTGCAAAAACTAACCTTGCTAATGAATAAATGAGTTTAAAATATTTAAATGAATGGAGTAAATATTAATTTAAAGTCTTA